TAAATTATTCAGAGGGTAGTTAACCTGAGGAAGGCAGAACTGACAGCCAGCGGGGAGAGCCGGGGTGGGAAGCCTTGAGACAACTAAGGAGGCCCAACGCGGGCGGCAGCCTAAGGAGGAAGCCACTGTGGTGTAGCCACGGGCTCCTGGCACCTCGTGAGAGCTCCGGGCCTGTGTCCCCCCGACTGGCCCGGCCCTGGGGCACCTCAGTAGACATGGCAAAGTTGGTTTTCAGTGTCCACCGGGGTGAGCAGAGGCCTCCCATTTTCCCAGGCCCTCAAAGGAGTCTTCCTCTCCGTTTCTTTCCTCATATTATTTCATTTATTCACCACAAAACACCCTTGTAGAAGGGCAGGGGCTCGTCTCCTGGTCTAGCTGGGAAGCTGCAGCTCAGAGAGGTTCTGTAACTTGCCCACAAACACACAGCTGTTGCCGGTGGGGCCAGGATGGGATCCCTGGAGACTTTGATGCCTAGGCTATGTTACCTACCAAAGTAGCAGCCACTCCAGGACGTCAAGATCGCCTGGGGTTTCTACATCTGGGACAGCAGCCTCTGTGAAGGGCAAAGCCTCTGGAACACCCCGGGGAGCCCCACATTCCAACACTGAGTTATTGCTTTGTCCCGTGGGGATATGATGGTGGCCTGAGGTCTCTTCTGAAAAGCATGCTCTTCCTAAAACTTCCTCCAGGCAGAGGAAGATGGAGAGTGAAATTAGCCAGATCTGCTTTCAGAAAGGAAGTTTCCAAACCATTGAGGCACTCATTAAATGCAGATGCCCAGAACTACCGAATTAGACTGACTGTGGGCAAGACACAGGAAGCTGGATTTTTCACAAGCTTTTCTCCAGGGTGATTTCTGCATACCCTAGAGTGTGAGAATGACTGCTTTGGAGAAGCCAATATTTAGATTAACGTTCTTTATATTTCTTTTTTAATATATCTCCTTACTTTGGGGTGGGGGAGGGGCAGAGAGCAGAGCAGAGAATCCCAAGCAGACTCCACGCTGCCAATGTGGGGCTTGAACTCACAAACCATGAGATCATGACCTGAGCCAAAATCTAGAGTTGGCTGTTTAACCCGCTGAGCCATCCAGGCGCCCCCAGGTTAATGTTCTTTAAACCTCTGAGGAATGGACCCTCGCAAATGTGTGCAGCCCCTTCTGAGGGAAAAGGCCTTGGCCGTACCTGAAGCAAAGGCCTCCTGCAGGAGCCGTGTGGCCCTCCCACGTGTCCTCTGCCCACCAGCCACAGAGCACACACAGGCACACATACAGTGACACACACACACACACACACACCCCAAACCCTCACCCACTACAGACCACATACACACACACACCACACACATACATATACCACACCCGCCCCACCTCACCTCACCCCGAACACACTCACACACACACATACACACACGCACGCACACTCCACACCCCAGGAAACATTCCAAAGTCCCATGCAAACAAAGGGAACATTAATCCACCGGCCCCATCACATTCTCTCTCGTTCTCTCTCAGGGAGCTAACCCAAGGGTGCAAGCACTGTGAGAGCTGGTCAGCGGCGGTGGAGCCTGAAGAACCCAGAGGCCCTCAGAGCCTCACCGGGATGGCATCCGGGCCGTGAGGGGGTGATGCTCTCTGCCACTTGTGTGAATGTGGCTGGGGACCACGTTCCATTCCCACGCCCGGCGTGAAGGTAGCCAGGGCCACTGACCCGCTCTGGCCAGTGGATTTGCTAGCCGAGAGGGGCCCCTCACAAGTGAAAGCACCTGAGGGCCAGAGTGTCTCCATCTTTCCTACCCCTAGTGGGCCTCCAGACGTTGGGTCCCCAGGGGCAGGGAATAGCGACCCACCAACCCGTGATGGACGTGCAGTGAGAGCAAAGAGTGAACCTCTATGGTTTGAAGGCGCCGATCTGGGGCTCTCACCACCACATGACTCACCCCTTCTGCCGCAAGGGTTAAACCCCTTCTGCTCAGACAAGTCACTAAATGTGGGCACTCAACTAGAAGCCGGTTGTGGAGCGGCTCATTAGTAGGAGGTGAGAATTCTGCTCCCTGGAAGCCATCCTGCTCCGGCATCACAGCCTGGTGCCCACGGGTGCCGCGATGCTTTCTGAAAAACAAACATCAAGAAATGATCGTGTGAAAAAAAAAAAGAAAGAGAAGATCGTGTGAACACAGAGCTGCTACAAATGCCTTGTTTACGGAGGTTACGAGAGAGTCTGTGTGTCTTTCTTCTTTTTTTTTCCTTCCCAATCGGAAGAGCATAAGCTCAACCAAGGTGACAGCCGTGGGGTTGGAACAAAGCAGGACTGGGAAAACTCCATTTCTTCATTTTCTGCACCCCCCCCTTCCCTTCACACCCAGCTCTTTGAAAAGCTGCAAGCAAAGCACAGATGCAAGGAGCTGTTTTCATTCTTGTGGTGATGAGCCCCCCTCCGTTCCCATGGCAGCCTGGGGCTCTCCACTCTTAAGTCTGCTTCCTGGTCCGGCTCTCCCAACTAGGCTGTGACCCACTGCGGGATAGGGCGGTGCCTCCCTTCCTGTGTCCTGGCCTCCGGAGGAAGCACCCGGAGGGTAGACCCTGTGGGCCGGCCAGCAACCCCATCCGATAGCATTTACTGAGCACCACTGTGCCCAAGTCAGCGGGCGAGGCCCTGGGGAAAGGTCTAGATTCATAAGATAACAAGAATCAGTTTACAAACTTCCATATACATTATTTTGTGAATTTTACAGCATGGTGGGGAGGTAAGCTGTACGCAAGTTGTGCTGTCTTACTTTAAGTGAGTGTGGGTCTGCAGTTTCCAGGCAGTGTGACAAAAAGGGGAGCCACCTTGGCCGTGCATGTTGCATTGAGTCTCGGCTTTGCCCCCAACCTGCCTGTGACCTGGGGAAGCGTCAGCATCCTGACGTATAAAAGGGAAATCCCAACTGTTGGAGAGCATGCGGGCCGATGTGAGGGCTCAGAGATTAAAGGTGACTGGAGGGACCATGCCCTTGGAAGACGGCGCATGGACAGCTGTTGAGGTCAGTGTTGTTCTGTGTATCTCAGCAAGACTGGCCCTGGGGAACCATGGATCGCTAGTATTGTCACTGACCTCATGGTGAGCACGTGGTGGGGGTGAGAGATGACAACACACCACGACCATCAGCTATTGATCAGCACACGTTTATTGAGCACCTACTATGCACCGGGCTCTGTTCTAGTCACTGGAAACATAGTAATGGATACAACCCCTGCCTGTATATTCGACAGAGGGGCACAGACAAGAAACAAAGAATAAGTAATTATGGAGCTTATAGGAAGATGGTAAGGGCTGCTGTGGGACAAGGGATTGGTTGGATAGGCTGGGCTGGGGGACCAGGTGCTTTCCCCAGTAGGGTGGCCCAGGAAGCCCTACACTGCGAAGGTGACCTTGGAGCAAAACCCTGAACAATGTGAGGGGGTGGAGATGTGCAACTGATCATTCCCAACAGAGGGAAGGACCAGGGCAAAGGCCCTGGGGCAGGAACGTGTCTGGCATATTTGCGGTTGGAGCCAGTACAGGGAAGAGGGAGGCGAAGGAGAGAAATTAGAGAAGAGGAGGAAGGGGCCGGATTGCGTAGGGTTTTGTGAAGGAAGAACTGGGGTTTTTACCGCCTTCGTCTGGAAACTTTCTCTTCACTCCTCTGTTGAAAGTTTGTCCTCTGCCAGTGGAAGCAGCCTGTCTGGAGAAGGCTTCCCATGGTTGCTGGCAGTGCAGGCTGCTGCTCACAGTTCAAGTGAGGCCAGGGTGAGCCCAGGGGGGGATTCGAAGCCATGACCTTCAGACATGCAGGTCACACCCAGCCAGCCTTTGAATGGTTAGGCCAGAAAATGACCCCTTTAAGGGACTGGAGAGGTCGGGGGGGGCCTCTGTTCTGGCTCTGTGTCTCCCTACACGCCTCGCTTTAGGGACCCAGCTGTCTGGAACTAGACACTGTTCCTTCCCACTTGCAGATATGTGCCCCCTCCTCGGCTCCCACAGGCCTTTCCTCCCCTGCAAGCCCAGCCTGGCCCCGTGCACCGTCTCCTCTCCGCTCCCTGTGCGTCTAGGGCTCTTCTGCTCCTGCTGCCATCCTGCTGAATCATCTGCCAGGCGACTTCCTGGTCCTTTCTTTCTCCTCCCAACGTGTCTCCCTCATTCCGCAGTACATGGAGTCTAGCATATCACCACCACGTGAGATGTCGGAAAATTCTGGGTGAACAGCAAAGAGGAACCCAGGCTCCAGGGTGGAGAGGAGCCAGGGGTGGAAGGGAAACAGGAAAATGGAGCAGGAAGCCAGTGTGTGTTGTTGATGCAAAATGAACAAACCCTGCAGAATCTCTAAAAGAAAGGAAGAAGGGGCGCCTGGGTGGCTCAGCCGGTTAAGCATCCGACTTCAGCTCAGGTCATGATCTCGCGGTTCATGGGTCTGAGCCCCAGGTCCGGCTCTGCACTCACAGCTCAGAGCCTGCTTGGGATTCTCTCTCTCCCTTTCTCCCTGCCTCTCCCTGGCTTGCATGCACGTGCACACTCTCTCTCTAAAATAAATAAACATAAAAAAAATAACTTTTTTAAGTAAGAGAAAGGGTTTTAGTTGAGCCCGGGTTAGGAGAATTCTCCGGGGAAAAACACTCTTCACCAGGGAAGAAAGCGCTCCAGAGAATGGTTACTACAGGGTTCTATACTTTTTACATCTGGTGAAAACTTCCATATAAGTGGGGATCAGGGCTTTTATCATAAAGGAATGCAGGAAGTGGGAGCATTGATGGTTATCTTAAGGACACAATTTTCCTTCGGGCTACTCCTTCACAACTCAGAGGGACAATGGCTGCTTGGCGGGCCATAAATCAGGCTTTGGGTTTGAACAAAGTTTACGTACAGTCATGGTGACCTGGAAAGAAACCTAAAAAGGCTTCCCTTGTCTATTAGGACTTTACAGAGCTTTTTTTCTCATCATAATCCAGCCATGGAAGGAAGGCAGGGAAGGGGGGAGCTGATGGACGCAGTGGGAGCCTGCAGCCTTCAAGGTGAAGCATCCGTTTACTTGTGTCGGGAGCCTGAGCCTTCCCACGGCACTGACCTTGGCTTTCCCTGACAGTTAAACTGCTGCAGGCGGGCCAGGTCCGAGAACCCGGCAGAACGTCAACAGGGCCAGCCAGGAGAGTCCTGGCTTCACGCAGAATGGACGTCAAACCAGGGGCGCCTGGGTGGCTCAGTCGGGTAAGCATCTGACTCTTGATTTGGGCACAGGTCTTGATCACGGGTTGTGAGTTTGAACCCCGCGTCGGGCTCCACGATGGTAGTGCAGAGCCTGCTTGGGGTTCTCTCTCTGCCCCTCCCCCACTCTTCCCTCTCAAACTAAAGAAATAAATAAACTATAAAAAAACAGAAATCAAAGGAGAAACTATTCAGCTTATTGAATAGTTAAGTGACAGCTAGGGAAAGGCAGACAGAGTGTCTGCAATACTCAAAGGACAGCAGGATGGGCCCTGTCATTGCCTGGGGCTGGCCATTTATGTCAGAAAAGGGTCTAGGGTACCCATTCCCCCAGGAATCCAGGGTGGGGTCCAATCAAGGGCGAGTGTCAGGTGAACAGCAGGCGTTACTCCGTAATGTCCCAAAGGTGCGGGCACCAAGGCCAGTCTCTCAGCTGAGCTTCCTTGGAAGCGAATGTCCCGGGCCACATCTGGGATCCAGCTCTTCCTAGATGTTATCGCGTGTTTGGGGCCGAGGACCAAACTCAGAGGATGATTCACTTTCTCGCTCTCCCCGTGAAGTGGGAACATTAGCTTCTCTGGCTTGTTCAGAGGCAAAAAGTGGAACACGAGGCAACGGGGCCCAGCAGAAAAGCGGGGAGAAGGAGCCTTCAGCCCCCCCTGCCTCACTGTTTCTGGCTGCCTAAAGATGCTCGCCGGGGACACGCGTTGACTGGTGGGTCTGCGGGCCAGGCCTGTGCCTGGGGATCCAGTGTCCGGCCCACCTCCAAGGGCTCCTGGCCTCGGAGGGCAGGTCTTGAGTGCACCCCCCACCCCCACCCCGCACAGCCCCGGGGACAGGATGGGTGACGACAGGTGAGGCAAGAGTGAGTGCTGAAAGGCGGGGTGGCAGGGCATTTTTGAAAGATTAGACGCTTTCTCCAACATTCCGCACCCCCTTCTCCCAGATTTCCTCTCTCCCCTCCCTTTTAAACCCAGCTCCAAGCCTCTGGGAAGAGGAAGATAATGTGAGAGCAGAGAGCAGAATAAAAGCAGTCACTTCCTGGCTTTTGTTTCTCAAAAGTCCTCCCAGACCATTAATGGCCCAGAGTCACCAAGGCTTGAACAAAAGACCAGGGAGGGGACCGCTGGGAATGAGGACGAGGCTTCCTGCCCCAGCTTAGATTCCCGCACCCGCGCCCGGAGGGAGGGTCAAGGGGACTAGCTGCAGGGGAGGTGGTAAGAGGTAGGCGTGCAGGGCCCGGCTTCCTGAGCAGAGCCCGCGGGGCTTGGCGGGACCTGGTGGGGGCGCGGGGATGTGAGGGCGCCGGGGGGACCTGGCCCTCATTTCCCTGGAAGGCACCCGGTGGGGGGAGGGGAGAAGCTGGAAAGCGCTTAGCTTTTTTCTTTTCCTTAGCCATTCTTCAGAAAATCCAGGGCCCCTGCGACGCGACAAGGCCACAGAGGAATTTCCAGGAGTCCCAATGCAACCAGTGAAGGAGCCCGGAGGTCAGGAATCCCTGGCTGGGGACCAAGGAGCATCTCAGCAGGTGCCTATGAGGACCGACTAAGCAGCTGGGTGGCTCCCCTTGACTTTGACCACATAAGCGGTCCCCTTTTCCCTCCACCTCCCTCTAGGACATAATCCCAGGGAAAGGACAGAGAGAAACTCTTACTAAGAAAACAAAGTTCAGGGCACCTGGGTGGCTCAGTCAGTAAAGCATTGGACTTCGGCTCAGGTCATGATCTCACGGTTTGTGGGTTCGAGCCACGCATTGGGCTCTGTGCTGACAGCTCAGAGCCTGGAACCTGCTTCGGATTCTGTGTCTCCCTCTCTCTCTGCCTCTCCACTGCTCGTACTCTGTCTCTCAAAAATGAGTACACATTAAAAAAAAAAAAAAGATCTACTTTGCCATATAAAAAATAAAAAACAACAAAGTCCAATCAAGTAAACTTGAACTTCTGGTTGGCTTTCTTTAACAAATGGGCATCATCCCATCTGCCACGTAGAAGGTAGCTCCCAGAAACTATACAAAGTGGAAGGTGTTTTTAAAAATATTTATTATGTTTATTTTTGAGAGAGAGAGAGTGCAATAGTGGAGAAGGGGCAGACGGGGAGACAGAGAATCTGAAGCAGGCTCCGCACTATTAGCGCAAAGCCCAACATGGGGCTTGAACCCAAGAACAGTGAGACCCTGACCTGAGCCAGTCTATGCTCAACTGACTGAGCCACCCAGGTGCTCCAAAATGGAAGGTTTTTCTAGGAAGGAGGGTGAGGCAAGAAAGTTATTAGCAAAAGAAAGAATTGTTTCAGGCAAGGTCACTTTTCCTTAGGGGGAAGTGCGGGGGGGGGGGGGGGGTCTTCCGTAGATTACCTCATCTTCCTTTGGGGAATGGAGAGGGCCCAAGTGACAGATTACCTCAGTAGAAAATTCCTGGCTGAGAGGTTCAAATGCCTATTTCTGGGGGAGGTTGAAACTGCAGTATAGGTCTTAAGCCTGGTTTGGTGACTCGGCCTGCCCCCAAATGACAAATTTTGGTCCTGTCGTTTTCTTTCCAACACCCTGAAGTGATTGAAATCAATTTAGTTCAATCTCTTGAGGAACTGGAGTTCAAAAGACAGATGTAAAAACTTAAAATTACTTTTTTTTTGTCACCTGAGTCAGACACAAGCAAAAAGGCTACGGGGGGGGGGGATGGGTAAGGGGCATTTAGATTACGCTGGGGTATTGGTGGGTGCAGTCATGGAAGGCTTCCTGGAGGAGGTGAGACTGAATAAAAAAATTGAAGCTTCCCGATATGCGTGCCGGTTTGAATTTCCACCGGTGTCCAAGAGATCCTGTTGTAGCCAAGACAGTTCTCTATCCCAGGAAGGGGAGTCCAAGCATCCCTTAGATGCTCAAAACTCTGTGGGAACTTTTCAGGGAGCTGGTCCCAGAGCCTGGGTCCAAACTGGTGACTACTCCCAGAATGGCTAATGCACAGACCCGCAGGAGCCTGGCCGGGCAGTTTCTTGTAGATGCCCTGGCTGGCCAGCAGGGGGAGCAAGCTTGCCACAGCCCAAGGCCTAGGAGCCCTGGGGAGAAGGGTGGGTGGAAGCCCAAATGCTTAGGCTCCCAGGATTTAATAATCTTCTAGGGAGTGGGCACCTTAGTGAGTGGGGGACCCACCCCTGGGCATCCATCCACCTTCCTTCAACCCTGAGCCCAGCCCTGCAATTTCTGAAGAACAGTTCTTTCAGGTGCCGCCCAAGCCTTCTGACACACAAGCAACCGGGCAAAGAAAGGTGGGACATGATGGCCCAAGGTGGCTTCCGGGGAGGGTGCAGGGCTGGGGTTTCTCACCAGGACTCTGCAATCCTTCAAACTGTGGCGACACCTGCATGAATTCAGGCACGTACAATGGCAGGTGTAGATCCATACCTATGAGCAAAGCCACCAGTGCAGGAATTGGACGGAGTCTTAGTACCCTCTGACATTCCTGCGGTTGTTTCTTCTACTACTAATATATTTTTTGTTAGGCTCTGTGTCCAACATGGGGCTTGGACTCCATGATCAAGAGAGTCACACACTCTGTGGAGTGAGCCAGCCAGGTGCCCCCTATGACTGCCAATATTAAGACTGCTACTAGCAAATTGTAGACTCACCAATGATGAAATATAACTTAGCCATTAAGAACCTTGTCTTCGGGGGCACCTGGGTGGCTCAGTTGGTTAAGGATCTGACTTCGGCTTGGGTCATGATCTCGTGGTTCGTGAGTTCGAGCCCCATGTCTGACTCTGTGCTGACAGCTCAGAGCCATGGGGCTTGCTCTGGATTCTGTGACTCCCTCTCTCTCTCTCTCACTCTCTCTCTGCCCCTCCCCTACTCACATTCTGTGTCTCTCTTTCTCTCCCAGAAATGAACAACCATTAAACAAAAATTGAAGAAAAAGAAAAGAACATTGTCTTCAAGGGATATTTAATGGCATGGGAGAGTGCTCATAATATAAGGTGCTAATTCTTCTCCATTTGTGCTTCCAGAATCATTTTCTGCCCTACTCTGCACCCCAGGAAATGGAGCCCCGTGCGCTCTGGCATCCCTATTCCCTTGCCCTCGGGCTGCAAGTTGGGTATAGCCAATGGGAGACACCAGCAAGGGATGGAAGGGCAGGAGAGACAGACTGAGATGTGTCTTCTCGCTCTCTCAGGACTACAGCTCTTGCTGCGCCGCCCCCTCTAAGCCTGCAGCCCTCTCTGGGCTCGGTTACCATCATTTTCTCCCCTTGCCCTTTTGGCTCTGATGGCGGTCACAGCATCATGCCAGGGCCGCCTCCCAGGTGCCCCAGCATCTCTTGTGGGTTCCCCGTTACACTTATGTGCATCTCTGTAAATCAGCCTTCATCAGACCGCTCTTCATTTGAACCACCGAGTGAATGCTGTTTCCTGCCAGGATTCTGACTAATGCATGCGTCAAATGAAAAGAGAAGAATACAAAGCTTTGTATATGTAAATACGTATATAAAAGGCCTGGTGCTTTATTCTCCTTATTTCACTGAGCGCTCCGAGCAATGCGGTAGAATGCAGCGGAAAGCTGTATTGACCCCAGATTCAAATTTAGAAAGCATTTGAAGGAACATTCTAGTAATGCCTTTATGGAAGGGGAAGATGCTGACAAAGGAAATGTGCAAAGGGCCCACTAGAGAGTTATTTCATTTAACCATTTGGGTAAACTACTGCCAGACTGCAGTTTTTAAATGCAGAATACTGGACCTCTTTTAAGAATGTGCTTCTGAGAAGAACAGGCGGAGGAGGAGGTGGGGTGGGAGGGGGGCAAAGGAGGCTGCGTGGCAAAGTAGGCCACATGCACTCTGATGACCTGATTTTTCCCTACAGCAGATTCTAACCCAACTCAGAAGAGGAGGAGCTGACTTACGTTCTTAGACTCCCCGCACTACACTGTGGGGCCTCAGGGTTTGTTCTTTTTTTAATCTGTAAAATAATTATATTAATACCTATCTTAAGAGCCGATGTGATGGCTGATGAGTCAGTGTATGTAAAGCGTCTGGCCCTGTGCCCAAGTCGTCATGGGAATTGAACATGTGTGAAGCCCCGTTTTATCCCTCTAGAGTGGGTAGCTACTGTTATGTCTGCACGGCGAAGAAGAAATGGGGTGTGAGACACAACAGCTTACCTGGTGCCGGGCATATAGCAGTGGCTCTTCATAAGCAGTTGACAAATCAGTGAATGAATGAATGAACGTTCTGCCAGATCTATCCTCCCCAAGCTGTGTCCTGGGAAGACTCTTCACAGCCTCCTGTCTTTCACCAAAGAATCTCTATATTCTATCCCAACCTATTAGTTATTTATTGCTGTGTAAGAAATTCCCACAAACGTAGTGGCCTAACAGTATACACATTTGTTATCTCAGAGTTTCTGAGCACAGACTAGCTGGGTCTGCCACCCGGGGACTCACAGGTTGCGCCCTGTAAATAGCTGGTGGGCTGCATTCTTATCTGGAGGCTTGACTGGGGACCGGCCTCAGAGCCTGGGAATGTGCTTTTGCCCATCCTCAAGATCTCACGACTCTTTCAGGTTGCTGGCAGGATCTGTCTCCTTAGATGTAGGACTTAGATCTTCGTTTTCTGGTTGGCTGTCAGGAGGAGCCCTTCTCAGCTCCTGGAGGCTGCCCGCAGCTCCTTGCCAAGTGGCCCTCTCCCCAGAGGGCAGCTTCTTTCTTCAAAGTCAGCGTGGAAGACTCTCATTCCAGTCTGCTCAGAGCCGTGTGTGTGTGTCTGTGTATGTGTGTGATCACCTTCACTATATAATGTAACTTATCAAAGGAGTGACTCTACCTTGGTTATGGTCTCAGAGTCCTGTTATCTGCTGGGCGATGAGCAAATGTATATTTTCCTTGCATATGCACTATTTGCATTTCTCCCGGAACGTTCAGGAAATAATTCCTTATCCCCACATCATCATGATAACATCAGGGATCCCGGCATGTTGGCTGCTGGTTTCCTTTGAGGCAATGGAAAAGGTTGCCTTACATCTACAACCCTTTACACTCTTCAGATTCACTCCTCAGGGGGCCATTCACTTATCTGCATCGATTCACCCAGGGTATGGCATCAGCAAGGTATGGCAAAGGTGATGGACTGTCACCTCTTGATAACGTGACATTATAGGTGCTTAATGGCATATATTTTTTGAGCATCTGCTCTGTGCCTAGCATTAGACAGAGATCCTTCTGTTAGTCTCTGCCTTGGTAACCAATTTATTCACTTTTTTTGAGTAAATGCATGTTTCTTTGCTTTGAGTCAAGGTATGTGTTGAACTGCAAGTCACATAAAACCCACCAGACAATGACTTGAAGAAGTAAGAGATTTCTTTTAATCACCTACAAGAAGCCCAAGGCTAGGCAGTCCAGGGCTGGTGCCGCTGTTCCTCCAGCATCTAACTTTAGTCCTCATGGTCACAAGATCGCTGCTGCATCGCCAGGCATTGCATCCATGTCTCACACAAGAAGAGGCAGGCAGGGGCAAGAGACTGGTTTGTCTTATTCTGGAAGTGTCACCCTCCCCAAGGACTTCCACGTACATCATATTGGCCAGAACTTAATCACATGATTAGCAGTAACTCCAGGAAAACTAGGGAAATGAATTTGGAGGCACATTGCCAGCAAGAACAAAATCAAGGTTCTGTTA